ATACAGCATTTTCTCCTAAATTCAGCAAAATATTGTATTTTAACCTAAAATCAGCAAAATGTGGCATTTTAGTAAGGAGCCATGGCAATATAGAATTTGAAGGGCTCTGCTCATTAGATATAATGAACTCATGACTAAAAATCTCATTGGTGAAAAATTGCTATTTAAATGTTTAAATTATTGTAATATTTCACAATTAATTCCATTATAAATCGTAGGTGAAGTGAATTATTGTAGAATATTTTCATTAACTCAAATTTTATTCATGCTAAATAAGTAAAGTTAACTCAAACAAAAAAAAAAAAATTCTGAGTAATGTTGTATTGTGAAATTATTTACAATATGTCATAATCTGAATTGTAATAGTCTGTGTACATAACAAAGCTGTTTTAAATCTGGTCTATTTTAGAATAGACTATTTAACAACATGAGTTTGTCACAAGGTATATAGACATAATGTATGACTTTAAGAAGAATGGTTGTTAAAATTACTGTAAGGTGGATCATTCACCAGCTCGACCTGCACCATTGTCTATGATACTTTTCCTGTACCTGCCATCAAACTATCCCCTTAATTAAAAAAAAACTTAAATTACATATTTTTCAATTGGTGTCTACCAAAACCTCTTTATGGAATTCTCTCATTTTTCCATGATATGCTTAGAAAAATTTTAAATAGTTGTAATAGGATATGACATGTACATATACATTATTTGGTATATTGCAATTTTATCCCTCAAACAATATCCGCAGAATATTAAATTTGTTTTCTGATGAAAACTAAATAATATTTTGCAGTTTTCAGTGAATGTAGACAAAATATTTGAGAGTATTAATCAATATAACAGGAAAAATATAAAAAATAAAAATCCACCAAATATTTATTTGGAATCTAGAAAAAATTATTAAGTGTAATTTTTTAAAAGTGCAGAATTTTAATACTAAACTGAATACATTAAAACAGAAAAGGACAATCATGAAATAATTTTTGTTTTTTGTTCTAGGAGATATACTCTACCATAAAAAAGTAAAATTTGTTGGTATTTTACTACATTATTTTTTATCAGTTTCATCACAATATTTTGATAACTAACTCTATTTATAATTAATTATAATTTATCAAGTATAACTAACATTAGAAAGCTTTATATATTTATTTTTAAAGTAAATACTAACAAGTATTTTGTCAATATTGATTGAAACCTAAAAAATACATGATTTATTTTTCATCAGAAAACAAATTGTCGGCAGTCGAGAGATAAAATTGATATAATCCACATGTTTAAGGGGCTGTAAAATCTAAACTATATTAGAGACAGACAAAAAAATAAATAATAATGTTACACCATCACTGTTAACATTTAATAGTTTACAGCTTTCATCAAAATATGAGATGTAAATAAAATATATCTTTTTTTGCATGTGTGTGATTTGATATGGTGTTATTTTGTTTTTTCAGTAATTGTTTTTACTTGCTCATTTTTACTAAATTTGCTAAATTTTTTTATTCCCTAATTAATCAGAATATTAAACATCTGGTAGGTAATGGAATGATAAGCCTTTTAAAAATTTATATTAACTGATGAACTACACCAGACATGGCCACTCCACAACTAGCCAAGAAATTTTATATTTCTATTGAAGATTTTGTTTCTCGTTGTGTGTAAATAAAAAATATAAAATGCAAAAAAAAAAAAATTGAATTAGAAAAAAGCAAACATAGAAATCATGAAGTCCTGTCCATTCAAAGGAAGTATTATTCTATATCTACTGCAACTACTGGTAGATTGTTAGGAAAATTGACATTAAATAATAAACTAAAATAATATTTAAGTTTGGTGCAGTTGTTAGGTGTCTAAAACAGCCTGAACAAAAATCAAGGCTCTTCAATGTCTGATGTTGACATGCACCAACAAATGGGACAAAATTTACTTGCCAGAAACTGTAATGTGTAGTAAAAAGAACCTGACTACTACACCATGTTTAAATATTCGTAAATGTCAATCTTCCTAACAATCTACATGTTTAAATAGATATGGAAGAACATTCATGTAGGATGGACATGATTTCCCCTTTTCGGTAGTGTTTTTTTTTCCAAATACTTTTGTTTTCATCTTTTTCAAATTCATATTATATTTGTTGTATGATCTAGATCTTGCACACAATATGATACGAAACCAATACAAATTCAATAATACTTAAAACATAATAAAATATTTTCTTCAATATTTTAGGCTTGAAATGTTTCCAAACATTCATGAGATCTTATTGATTCATTTGGACCATTTAACTTAAAAATCGATTGAAAGTTGTTGGCTCGAGAAGTCATTACATACCTATTAACGGACAGATTAAGTACATTTTATATAATCATTTGTCAGTATTTTAATATCAGATTGTTCCAAAACACTTATGGGATTTCAATGAATAATTTAAGATATCAAACTTAAAAATTGACCCAACCGTTCCCTCAAAAAAATGTCAAATATCTTTTAGCAAATTGATTTAACACATTTTATTCAATCATGGGTCAGTTTTTAGCTGTAATTGTTTCAAAACACTTACAGGATTTCACCGAATAATTCAAGATATCAAATTTAATAATCGATCAAACCGTTTGCTCAAAAAATCATTCCATATCTTTAAGCAAATTGATTAAACGAGTTTTATTCAGTTATAGGTCAGTGGTCTTAGTTCAAATTGTTTTAAAACATTAATAGAATCTCATAAAATAACTTAAAAATCAATCCAGCTGTTCCTGTAAAAAAGTGTTACGTACCTTTTAGTGGACAAACCAAATATTTAATCCTCAAATGAAAATTTGTTTATATTTTTTATTATTATCATTCTATCATGAATTATATTTTTTTACTAGATGTGCACAAATGCCAAATGTTATTGATTGAATCAGAAATTATATTAATTTAGTAGTTATTTTTATACTGATTTATTGTACATTACTTATATTTATTATTTGAACACTAACAATGACTAATAATAACAAATACTAACACCAACCTTTCGGGTTGGATAGGCTTGAACTTCACCACAGTATTCTAATTTGTCTCTAATATTTGCTGTAAGGAATAATTGTTCAATACTCGAATTGTTCTACTATAGCCTCTAATTATTTCCTTGGTGTATTCCAGAATTTAACAAGTTAGGATTAACAAAAATATTGGATAACATATAGGAAGGAGTGAACCCGCAATATTTATTACAATCCAATCATAGTCCCTTTTTTTGAATCTGAATATGTTTAAACTCTTTCCATTCTGCTGCTAAAAATTAAAACTATACCGGAATAAAACATATCCAATACATATTTATTGCAAAATCACAAGATGATATTCTTGATAAATGTAGTTGGATATTTCGTGTATATATATATATATATATATATATATATATATATATATATATATATATATATATATTATCTATTTTTATGTTCCCCCAAGAACTAACTAAAGTGAGAGTGACAATGTAATTTTTCAGGATTGCCAAGAAATAAATATTAATCGACACAGATGGGAATCGTTCGACAACATTCCAAACCATGCACTCTGGGATCCTCTCCCTAACATTCTCAGTCATCACTTTCATGTTTTCAGATACACTAAACATAGTGTAAAATATACAAATCTTTTAATGATATTTACTGATTCATCAAAGCTCAAAGTGTAATTGTAACACTTCTGGGTGTTCTGTAATTAGTAGCTCCAGTCAGTACTTATATAAAGTATCAGGAGAGAGCATATTTTCAGCACATTTTCTGCTGAAGAAACTGCAACTAGAGATGCTCTAAATGCAGATGCAAATATGTCTAATACTGATCTACCTCTAGGACCAATTTCATGTCTGTCCTGAAAGCCATATGAAATCCAAAACCAACTGATGTGTTAATCATTGTGTTGTTTTCATATGCATTCTTTCCCATTGATGTGTAGTAACAAACAAAGGGCTAATCATACTACTCATTTATCTCTCAAAAGAAAAAACCTATTGTTAAAACCTTTTCAACAATAATAACAGAAGAATGCAGAAGATTTATGTCAAAAAAATAAAATTAAAATGGATAGAAAAATGTAGAGTAAGAGAATCAGAACTTGGAGAAATCAACCAAATATCTGCTAAATAGAAAACAACTTGACAAGAAGGGATAATTTTATCTAGTCTTTGAGGCTCCATGTATAAGTCATCTAAATCAGTATCTCCATATATATCGATATATTGGCATGTAATCAGAGTGTCTAACATATCTTGGTAGAATGTCCAAAATTATGTAAATTTCACTTTAAGGTTGAAAATCAACCTTACCGAATCAATCTTATAGAACTCACAAGATTCTATATTGTTTCAGATATAATTCTTTTAGAAACTAAAACAAGTTTCCCGTTATTTAAATATACCAAGGTAATTTTATATTTATACTTGAAAATATGTCTCCAAAACATATATAAACATATATCCAATTCCCAGTAATATAATGTTCAGATCCTTTTTGAAATTGGCATCCTGAATTGTAATTAACGATAGTTAAAATTAAAGTAAATTTTGATTTGACTACAGTGAAAAACAAATATGTTGTAATTTTTTTTTAAAAAACAAGTTAAATTGGAAACAATTAATCAAAATTCCGATGATTGGCATGTAGTAATAATTATAGTTCTTTTTTTTTTTGTAGTTACTATAATTTTTTAACACAAATTAAAGAGGTTTATAAGATCTTCATAAAGCAGCAATAAATGCTTTATTCAATTTTACTTAGCTCAAGCGAAATAGCAAGAAGCGCTTATTGCTTTTGCTTATTGTAAGTTGGAAAGAACATATTATTACAGACATTTATGTCTGAGGCCAAACTTTAGCAAACATTTAATATTTTCATACTTAACATTATGCAAATATTGAGCAAAAACAGCATACATTAGCAGCATTTATAATGTTTAAAAAAGAAGGTGACTTATATTTAATCAGATCACCTATTTGAAATTAGTTACCTGTTGTAATTTTGATTGGCATTAGACTCGTTCAATACTCTATTTACAGTTGGTTTAACTTTGTTGACTTGCTTGGTTGAATTCATGACTGGAGTGGAATTTCGCAGATTTCTATTGCCAACTTAAAACAAAAATATGTTTAGAAACTTACTAATTTCCATACTTGGTATATATAACTAAGCTTTTCTTACCTGAGTCTTCCCTATCACGACCGATGTCACCTATAATCGCATAACATTTATATATCAATAAGTATAAGAAAAATAAAATATAAAAATTTGAATTCTTTCTTAATCTACGGGAGAACGTAGCATAACCTAAATAAAGATTGGAAGAATTTAGCAATATTTAAAACCATAATACATAGAATTTAAAATAAATAAATATATTGTTTTGTTTTATTGGTGTTACATATCATGACATCATCATGTTTGTGACGTATGATAGTCTCTGCAATTTATGAATACATTGAATAGAAAAAGAGGGAGGGAGAATGAACCTAATAAGTGCTGAAGGATGTCCTTCCACTGCCTTGAGGGACATATGGAGGATTTTGTAGGTTAAAAATAATTCATAACTACATAAAATAATTGATTTCATTCCAATAGCGACATAAATACAAGAACTAATATCTGACATTGTTAAATGATCAATAAGTATATACTTAAGTCTCAGAAAAAGTTCAAAGTGGTAATCAAAAGAAGGATATGATAGAGTTAGCTCCTGTTGTGATAAGAAAGTTGTTCCTTATCAGGCTAAACTGAACTAAAGTATTACTGTTACTAATGTATAACGGATCAACCAGTAGCGATATCTAAGTATTAGAATCGCATATGCAACAAGTACTTCAGAAACTCAAACAGTGGTTCTACAAGAAGACATTTTCCTTGAGCAACCAAATATCAGAATTGAGCTATTCACCATTTCAAATAAACCTCACAAAGTGAATTTGAGTTTCTAAAGAGATTTCTTCAAACATACAGATGAAGCAACTTGCAGAGTGGACACAAAATTGACCTAAAACATGCACAGACATAAAAAAGCTATTCACCTGGAAACAAAGAGATTGCAAATTTATAAAAGGTGGATAGGCACTAAATGCAGAATAGCAAAAGATGCCTTTAACCTCACCTACAAACTCTATGCCGATAGAGATCTGAACTTACTATCACAGTTTCAGAAATGTTGGTGATATACATACACAGACAAATAAAGAGCTTGGATAGTGACTATTGGAAAGATTACAAAACTCTTTAACAATGTTTAAAACAAGCCTATTGTAGAGTGGGTTATCTGCTTCTGAGAACAATGGGCTACGATTACTTTACACCACTTGATGCATGTTCATCACCCAGGATCTCATTTTAACAAATTTAAAGGTTACCAAAAATCTCATTTTAAATATTTGAAACAATGAAACATTCATGTAAAAAAAATGAATTATATTGGTCTCCAAGAGAATAAATGGCTCAATAAGCAAATATAATCCTGGGAGAAGAAAGACAAAACAAATCCATGTTAAACATTTTTAAAAAAGTTTGGAAGCAGAATAAATTGAGCATACACCATTACAACAATTATAAAAAAAAAAATGTATAACAATAAAATCTACTAAAGGATAAATTCAATTTATTTAAATCCACACTTTACAACTAAATCATAGATTATAATTACATAAAAATGACCTAAAATGATATGAAATAATCATAACTTAATAAAATAAGATAAATATTTTCTAACTAAAATGAGAAAAAAAAAGTGAAAGCTATGTTCAAAAAACATATCAATAAATCAAACATAAATAAAGTTAAGAACTTACTTTCTAATAAACATACCCCAAATCATCACAGAAAATTAATTAAATATGTTAATAGATACAGATAAATATTCATTTGGTCATTAAATGAAAAAAAATAATAATAATAATTTAATAAAAATAAAACAAATCAAAAAATTAGCAACAAATAAACGTCATTTCCTGAAGATAAATTTAAAATGTAAATGATTAGAAAAAAATTTACCAAAAGAGTGGACCAGTTAAGTATGACTAAAAAGATCTGATGGTCATATAGGATTTTACAGGTATCATTTTTAATAACATGCAAAAAACAATTAGGTATTATTCAATCACCATGCAATTTTATTAATATTTTGTTAATTCAAGATGTTATTGCAATCAAAAGGTAATGTTTGCTAAAACATAACCACTCATCCATATCAAAAGCACAAAACAAATAATAGAAATTTTACAATAAAAAGACCAATTATCCGATTATTATATCTTTCTCTCCTTCAATATTGATAAAAGAAATTAAGTTGTGGTAAAATAAAATAAAAAAATTTAATAATATAATAACTTCATGTAAATATAAAATTAAGTTCTTTGGGCATATACATACAAAATTAAGGACCTATTGTAAAATAATAGGTTAACAAAGAAAATATTATTACGTCAAAAATTAAAATGAGAATGGAAAAAGTTATCGGCTAGCCAGTGCCTTTTCTAAACTGAATATGAAATTATAAGTAACATAATTAACCTCAAATATGCAATCTTCTTAGTGCAGAAAATAAACATCGAAACAAAGATAATCAAAAACCACTGAGTAGTAATGCAATAAAAAACTACTACAAGGAGGAAAAATAGATCAACATTGCATTCTAAAACACTGAAACAATCTATATAATTAATAAAAATTATACCAAGGAGTAGGATGGAGTAACCTTCCAGCATGCTCAAAGCAGATCTGGAGGGTATTTTTAGGTCAAAGCAGCCAATAAGAATTGATATTTACTATGCTATAGATCAATTAAACAAGTTTCAGCCATTTAACTCTGGCTAGTACAGGTTGGAAAACTGTATGGTCCTCCAGCCCTAGATTAAGCACAAAGAGGTCCTTGGTATATAGGCATAGATAACAATCACACTCTAGAACATGTTGCCAATATTCGACCATTCTCTGAATAGCATCTATAGTCTGATCATGTGATCTTGAGGATATCTTTCATGCTGGAGTGACACTTGTTAAATAGTACTATGGTTAATTTCGTGAAATAATTTATCATGATTAACTTAGGTCATTTATTAATTGATTTAACAAAGCCCATTCTCAAAGAAAAAGTATTTGCTTTAATTGAGTAAATTTTATTACATAATAAATTATACAATAATCTGAGAGAAATGAAAAATTTATAGTGGAAACACTGGGCCAACCCACAGCTCACTGGGAAATTTTATATCCCTATTGAAACATTTCTTTCCAATTGTATATATACAAAAAATATTAAATAAATGAGAGTTTGCATAAGTCATTGTTATAAAGTGTAAGTATGACACCAGAACACCAGTTGTGACTTGATGTATACAAACTCCAAATGTTATTAAACGAATTGGAAAAGTTAGTTATATTGAATAATATTATAACAATAATGTTTTATTTATTTTTATATTTGTATTACATTTTTAAAAAACACCTTCATCTAACGTATGATCCGCAATCATGATGTGAGTCATCAAAGTGGCCCCTAAAGCCTTTTAAATAGGCCAAACAAAGTTTATCTGATTGTTTAAAGCTTTCCCTATAGTCCTAATCTTATGTTTCACAAAGATATTCCGGGGTTAATTATGTTTAATTTATTTTATATATATATATATATATATATATATACTTTTTTTATATTATTCTGATTTATAGTATGTTATTTCTAGTTATCATTTGAACATAAACAGCATGATCTATTAATTCTATTTTTATTTTTTTGTACAATAAAATAGTAATAAAGTCTAATTAAGTTAACTGGTTTTACTTTTTACATTTATTTTAACCACCAAGCTAACATGAGAGTTAAGGGTATAATCATAAAAATATGAAAGGAATGAATGCTGAGAAACACAGAAACATTCTTCGGAGTTTTATTTTTTTAACTAATTTAAATAGTTATTACTACTATTTTTTAAATTAAAATAATCAGCAATGGGGTAGAACAATAGTATACAATTTCAAGTAGATAGGTAAAAAATCGAAACTCGAATTTTCAAAAACAACACACAAGCTGATCAACAAAAATTAAAAACAAATAGATTGAACAATAATTTTAAAAAAAATCTCAGCTACCTCTGATGTGTACTTTCTTAGGAAGTTCTGGTGTTGTAAATGAAGGGGCAAGATGATGATCATCTGCAAGAGAGACACCCCGCAATAAACATTTCAAATTAAATATATAAATGTAATTTTAATTGTTTGGTCCTACAAATATAACATTAATATCTTTGGATTCAAAAAAATTTAGGGTCTGAAACAGTAATAATTTTAAAAATTCACTTACTAATAACAATAGAGACATAAAAATATACTAAGTAATATTTGCCCTAATTTTTTTTTTAATTCATAAGAACCTTGATAAACAATAAACACTCCAGGCACTTAGCCACAGTCATGAATAAAATTCTGAAAACCTTTCTAAAATCTGATCCAACACAAACATAATTTTTAAAAGAATGATGAATTTAGAACTGTTAGCAATCTTTCTTTAAAGTATTGAAAACAGTATTGTTAGTTATTAATTTTAATTATTTCAGACAAAAAACAATATTTTTAATTCTAAGAAATTAAATTAAAGATGCACCAACCTCTAAAGATATCTAAAATATCCAAAACAATAAATTGATAAAAGATCATACTTGATTTTCAACTACTATAATCTACAGAGTAAATATTTAGAAAATGCTCCATGCTTGGCTAAATAAGCTGTGCATAAGGTGCATTATGTCTAAGGAACATGTGCAATAAAATCTACAGATAGAAATAAACACAAGCATTTTAGATTTTGTTTTCAAATGATATTATTTTCCATATGAGAAAGAGCTATCTTCTGCAGGATTTAATAATGAGGCCATATTTTTGTCAGCCTAACTTACTTGAGTATGTAATCTCCTCGCCTAATAAGACAGACAAAAGAAAAAAAAATATTGAAACAAAAAAAGTAACTGTTACACCCCTCTCAACTTTTTTGTTTTTTCAACTTCTAAAATGAATCACTTCTAAACACCAAAACTAATTTCTACAAACAGCTCTATCAATTAGTTAAAAACTGATTAAATATAATCTAGAATCGACTTTCATTCAGCATTTACTTCTAATTATTTTATTCATGTCCTAAACATTATATTGAACAATATTTTTTAAAATTTCAAGACATGCCGACAAACTAGCACATTGAATTATATTTATAACATTAACACAACACTTATATGAATGATTTATTTAATGATATAATTTAAGTACAGTCACTATAAAAAATAAAAATAAATAAATAATCAATATCAACAGAAAAAAGTGCATATTTGATCAAAGTCACAATCTGTACCAAATCAAAATCAAATATAGCCCCAACATAAATCTAATCATTTCTAACCCAATTTTGAACCTATTTACATCAATTAAACCATTTCCATATCATTTTTAAGTCTGTAAATAAAAAGACATTAAATTCATATTAAAATTAAAAGTCTAAAGAAAATTTATTTGGAAAATTTGTTCTATAATTTTGTCAAATACTTTCTCATTATATTATTTTCTACTAGTAAGCTTCAATGAATAATGTTATTATTTAATTCTAAATAAAAATTCTGGAAACAATTGATCTATTATAATTATTTTACCCTGTAGGCTTGATCACCCATTCAATTATATATCAAGTTATTGAATCGTGTTTATGGTTCACAAAAGAAATGAAAATGGTTTAAATTAAGATGGAATCGGTTTTAAACCACCAAAAGCAAGGGACCGAAAATGTATTAAATTATATAACTATCTTTCAGCTACATAGTTAAAGCATAAGAGTCTTAACATTCATCATCAGAAGATAAATTACATAATAAGCATTTTCTGCAGCAAGAGAATGTCCTAATTTGACAACCTAGATTTAAATAGGGATATGATTAATCTGTATACTGCAATTAAAAACATGGAAATCATGTTGGATGATGGGCTAAAATGGCATCTGAGCCCATGGACTGGATCAACCCATTGGCTTAACAGTGGCATCGGGCCATTTATTTCCTAGAGGGCTGTTGGCACTGAAAGGGATAAGCCATGATGAGCTATGCCTACAGAAAAATAATGGAGTCTTATGAAAAAATCCAAAACAGTTAAAGATATAATAATTTCTGAGGCAGCATCATTGTGAGTTTAAATTAAAATTAAAGGGTATCTGATATACCCTTGTAGAAAGAAGTATAACATTTCAATAATATCAGACAAGAGATTGTACAGAATTATTCTTCTTCCCTCTCCTCATTCAAATGGCTGTTTGGGAATGAAAGGATAAAGTCGGAGGTACTCTTGATAGTCACTGTACAGTTTGTTCACCAAATCAGTTGGCTCAGGCCATTCCTCTGCCTTCTGTGTTTCCGTTGTTCCACTATTAGGCTACATGTTTGGATTATAAAGGATTCCGACATCTTTGACTCAATAAATAAATTGAATATTGACGACCTAGAAAATTGAAAATGGATGGTGATAAATAGGCTTCTGTTGAGCATTGTGTTTTTCAGATGTGGAGGGAACGGAGTTCCTATCTAAATGGAAAGAAATATATGAAGTTTTAAATTAAATGATTTTGGCAGGGCTATATTTGATTCAATGGATGGAACAGACTCTAATAGACTCCAAGATGCTGTACATATATGTATTAAATCATAAATTTCAATGATGATATATATCTATTGGGTAAATTTGAAAAAAAAAAAACAAAAAAAAAAACATGCATTATTTGGACTCAGTTTATCATTAAGGACAGGAAAAGAAGAATAAAATGATTATATTTGTTGAAAGATTTAGTTTAATTAAAGAAATAAGATTAAGTAAAAAACAAAATATATTGAATTTAGTAATTAGAGTGAAATTAAAGATTTTAATTTGAAAGACTTTGATAGATTTCGCACTTATTTAATTTATTACAATTGATATAGTTGATAAATATAATTTAAAATAAACAATGTATTTGATTTCCACCACCATGAAATTCCAAAGATTAACAAAATCACATAATTGTTACAGACAGTCCTTTACAAAATGAAAAAAATATTCTATCTAAAACTGAAACTGTAATATAAAATAAATAGCTAATTATCAATTTTAAATGAAAGGATAATGTTAGCATGGTATTTCATAACTTTGGAATGACATGGTACTAATGTGGCACAATTAAAAGTTCAATGTAGGGGTTATAATTAGCATTTGATCCTTACTTGCCCTGCCGACCATCTGAACTGCCCTCACTCCCTTCCTGAAGGTAGCCACTTCAACACACACACACAACAATGTTAGTCCCGAGCCAGATGCTAGAGTCATTTTATAGGCTCAATATTACATAAGTAAAAGTTGTTAGGCTTTCTCCATCACACTTCTCATTAAATGTGTGTGTTCAATTTTCATTTCTGTTTTTTTTTTTTTAATTGATAAAAATCAACAGTAATAAAAAAGAAAAAAAGCCTTTGTTACTGTAGCAATGCCATTCATATAAAGCATAAAAGTCATTCATTGAAAAATTTATAAATATTTTGTACAATTGAAAATATAGGCCATTTCCGGTACTTAGAAAATTTTACTTAATTAATAAACAAACAAATTCAAAAACTTATACCCTGTTCAAAATGTTATTTTATAAATATCATGTACTACCAGAAACTGGTTATACATTTTCAAATAAAAATATGAAATGTTTGTTTAAGAAAAATAAATAAATTATTAAAACTACTTATAATAATAGAAGTAAGTAATTACTAAATGAAAAATGACCAAAGGCAAGACCTGAGACTTTAAAGCATCTGCAAATGTTAAAAACATTAATTCTGCATGATTAGAAAAATATTAATAAAAGTCTTAAGCTACAGCAACACTAAAAAGAATTATTATTTGTTATAAAATATAAGCTTAGTAATTATATAAGCGAAGTAAAAGAATCCAACATGCGAAAATGCAAAAGCTTTATTAAAGTAGCAGGTTTTGAAAACACAATTATACATAATAGCATGTTGAATAATTGCAACATACTGCCATAACAAAGATAATTTGATTCAAAATTGATTTCTTAATCCACTGAGTTATATCTTCAGTCTAAAAATTATTTGTTTTACATTAAAAGTTAAATAATTTTCAAAAAATTTTAAATTAAAATTTAATTTAAGAAACAAATTATTTTTCTATTTTACATGAACGTCACTGACATATAATAATTCAAACTGCAACGATGGACTGTTAGTAACAGGAAAGAACATTATTAAGACTCCCTTAACTACATGCAATAAATTATTGCACCAAACTAAAATAATTTCAATTTTCATTCTTGGCCTATAATAAAAACCCGAGCATATAGACATTTTAATGAAGTCAGCTTTGCCATATAAATGTCCTTAACCTTAATGAATTTCCATTAATCATAATAAAATAAATGAAGAATAAACAAGATAGTAAACAGTTTGAGTTTAAATTGAAATAATAATAAAAAATCTAAACAAATAAATAGAAATAAAATAAGGTGTTCTACTTATTTCGACTACAATGATGTAAAATACTTTCTTTTTTGTAACATGTTTATTAAAATTTACATAAATAGTAAGCATCTAATTTGTTTAATAATAGGAAAATAATCCTCAGGTTATTTCTATCAACATACTAGAAGTCATTTAATTTCTCTAAAAAAAATACACAAGTGGTTAAAAATCCCATTTTCAAATAAAATTAAAAAATCAGTAAAAAAAAAAAAAGAATATAAATAATACTGTCCATAGCTTTAAAATAAATTTATTAATTTATTTTTAAAATTGCTTTTCTTAATTAAAAAAATATGATTAAATTAGCAATAACAGATTTTTTTCTATTTAAGATCGTAATACTCTGAACTTTTAACTTCTATTATTTTATTTTGGAAAACAAATTATTGAGACAGAAAAAATTATAACATTGAAAAACAAGAAAGAGAATACATAAATTATTACCGATGATATAGAGATGGTTGACCGTAATATAATATGAGAAGGAATTGGTCGGAAGGTGCGGTCAAATACATTTATTTGACCGCATCCTTCTTGCTCTCTCTCGAGCAATTCCTTCTCATAAATTATTACCATCATTTTATTATTAAGTATAAACCATCATTTTTTTGGAAGTATTAGGGGTGCCGGAAAGTAATGCCGTTTTCTTATACAATAATACAATAAAAAGAACCACAACTTGCAATGGTCATGAACAAACCATGACTTGGATGCACACAATGATCTGAAAAATGACAATCAAATAGTGATATGCAGAAAAATGACATTACTCTCCAATCCCCCTAATATTTTATATTTAATAGGTACTATCATTGTTCTTCCATAGCTTCACTTCACAGTTTATGCTTCCCAGATGAGAAGAATAAAAATCAAAATTAACATCTGATTATAATTTATTTGTATGTTTAGGGGGAATCTGTGTCCCCTTCCTCTGCAATCTAAAAAATGTATGTACCAATATATTTTAGGTTTAATTTAAAAACCAGTCATAACTACAATAGATAAATTATACAACACATAAAACAATTTTCAAATAAATATAAATTATTTTTCAAAATTTGTTAAAAAATATAAATTATTTACATTTCATTCTCCAAAAAATATTGGGTAAGTCAATATAATGTAATAAGTTTGGTTCAATGTTTAATATGCAACTAAACGGATTATGGCAATAAATAGGATAGTTGGTAGGGGAAAGAGTTAGGATCTTAAATGTTATTTTATAATTTGATTCCAACAGTCATGAATGGATTTTAAATCTTCTTTTTTATTCAATGTTTGTTTTATATTATTTTTTATTAATAAATTTTCCTTCATTTTTTATTTTATTGTATTTTTTCTCTTTAAAGTATTTTTACACTGGTAAGTAGAATAGAATGTAAGTATTAGTTTATATTTATTTGAAAATTGTTTTATGTGTTGTATAATTCATTTATTGTAGTTATGACTGGCATTTACATTGGACCTAAAATATATTGGTGTAAATTTTTTAGATTGGTAATAGAAGGGGGACACAGATTCCCTGAAACGTACAAATAAACAATAATCAGAAGTTAATTTTGATTTTTATTATTCTGACCTGAACCTCTCTCTAAAAAAAAAAATCTTTAACATTTACACAAAAATAACTAAAATCAAACATTGACTTTTATTTATTATTTTTAAATAAACTGAATAAATAATCAAAAACTATTGTTTATCAAATAAAAAACTTTTGAAAACTAAAGATTACCAAATGATTCTTTAATTTTAGGAATATTTTTAATAAAAAATAAATACTTCACAGTTTGCTCTTTTCCGAGTAATTCTTGTAATTGTATTTTTACAAAAATAAAATGCATATAATAATAATAATACATATTGGTAAAATAAAGATTACAACTAAAGGTAGGTAATTTTAAAGAAAATAATATAATTATGAGATTATTAAAAATATCTTGATTAAATTAAGTAATCAAACTACATGGGGCAGAAATGGCAAAGCCGACTTCATACATATGGCACAAGCTAGAGGGCTCACTCTACAAACAGGACAAAAACGGACACGCATGGCAGGCATTTTGCGAATGGCAGTTATACGTTGCTCCCTACCATCGATATAACTCTGGTTAAGGTCCCCTTTGACCATTCCCGTCTGCATCATCAACATTCCAACATCTGTAAAAACATCCAAGTCACTTCCCACATTGAATCCCCCTATTTTCAATAAACTTAAATAATAGATTAATTAACACATCTTATGTAAAGATTGCATTACAATAAAAAAAACATTTTTGACTTGTAACATACTTTAACCCTGATAATGACAGATTAACTATTCAGTTAATTAAATATTTGATTTAAGTTAAAAATGAAAAATATTCAAAGAAACTAAATATACTATTTAAAATTTCAGAGATTAGCCCAAATTCAATATGTAATCTGTAAATAAATTTACAGTAAAGTAAATGTATCTGATTCAATAATATTAACATCCTATCCAAAACCAAGTGTAGCTGAATCTTCCAAAGCCAAACATATTTGTCAGTTAATGAATACAAATGCTCTGAAAATTTTATTTCAACCTTAATTCTATTATTAAAGAAATACAATTTTAAAATTTTGTTTTTTATAACTAAATTCTCTTAAATGAAATACCTAAAGAGTTTTTTTGTTTTTTTTATAAATTTTCTTTAATTTAATAAAAATAAAATAAATGAAGTTACATTAGAAGATAACACTAATTCCATCAGTGTTTCACTCAACATTAAATTTGTTGATTATTCGAAATGGTTCCAAATGAATGAAGTACTTTTTTAAATACTGTAATAATTAATAATAAAGTTGATTTAAATTAAAACAGAAATAATTACATATATTTTGGTTAGGATTTCAATTTAGGAGAGAAATAGATTTAATGAGGGTACAAATAATTTGGAAGGAAGGAAATTAGATTTTAAAGTATAAAATTAAATCAGAAAAGTATAGTATAAACTTTTTAATACTATATTTTGTAAAAAGCAAGATTCAAAGTTTATAAGAATAAACTATTATGCGCAGTAATACTTTGTTTAACCATCATTTTACTGGGGAAAAAAGTAGGGTTTTCTAAACGTAGATTATTATTAACTATAAAACTAGGATCTGTATGAATTCCCACAGTCAGTATAATGGAACTGTAGCATAGGCTTTCTGTAAATTTCTCCAAAAGCCAGCCTGTTTCTCAGATATTTATCAAAAATATTCGTTAAGTAATATAAAGATCAATACTCACACATTAAGGCAGCTAATAATATTATTAGAAACAGTAATATTTCTGTAATAAGAATGCACCATTAGTTATGAGGGGTTAACTACTTTTCAATAATAATTGAGTTAACTCCTAAGGTCAAACCGAGAAGAACAATTATTAGCCTTCAATGAAGAAAAATCCTAGCTACAGGCCTGATAAGTTGATTACATTCACAAACTAAATATCTCAGAGAATTATTGTTCAACAAGAAATTCCCTCTCCCTTTACCTCCTCCCCCACTCAAGAAAATTGCATATATATGTTGTAATGATTTTTATTTATCCAATATTTAAATTAAAAAATGTAGGTTGGAGTTAAAAAGATTGTGGAGGGGAGAACGCAACCCCCGATCTCATCTCATCTCATCTCAGCCCAGTCTTTATCCAGCCGTTGACCAGGATGCATTGTTATTTGTCCGTTCTGGAAATCTTTAGAGAGAACATGTTCACAGTTGTCAAGGAAACATAGACCTAGATGAAGACCATTCTCAAGTAAAGTAACATTAGCAGGCCAAGAATATGAAGTATTCTATATAAGATCAAAGCTACCAGAGAGGATGCACGAAGAAACAAGAATAGTAGTAATTTAATTTTTATTTTATTTCACTTATAAAATTTATTCATAGATTAAATAAAATATTTAATGCATCAATTATTCGATTCTTAATAATTCACAGTACACGAACCATTCAAGTTCTCCATGTCCATAAAATTTATCATAACATATAGAAGTTTTAATTCAAAATTTTTTAATTCATTATTTAAAAATAACAGAACAATTTATATATATATATATATATATATATATATAATATATATATATATATATATATATATATATATATATATATATATATATATATATATATATATATATATATATAATCATCATCCTGATAGTATATAAACCTGTGTGAAGAGAGGTTTATATACTATATATATATTTAGAACCATAATCTCAGGAGTTCAAAACAACACTGGTAATACATCAGGATTGTAGCCTGTGCCCTCTTCTTTTCATACTGGTTCTCGATCTGGTGTTGGGGAGAGGAAGAAAGAAGACCCATAGTTTCCAGTTGGGTCACAGGGATATGCAGCCTACTCTTTACTATCTTAGGGTAGTTAGAAGAGGTTTCCTCAACTGAAAAGAGTCAGTACTCTTTCCAATACTGACGTATTCTTCTGAGTCCTGGACATTCACTTCAAACTATAGGAACCAGATCAGGCTTCAGAAAGGTGGAAGAAAAGAGTAGGCGGGACAGGATTCGCAATACAACCATACAAGCCAATCTCGACGTCAAAGTGGTCGAAACAATTATAGAAGAATTAAATCTTTATTATTCTCGCTTTTGTGGATTCAAAGCTCAAGGGGTCCAACCACCTGCAGTTATACATTTTTTTTTTTAGATATTTAAGAATTATTTACTAATGCTGGCTGTATCCAAGAGAACTGCTTGCTGAGCCTCTTTCAACACACCAAGGGGTAATTCCAAGCTGTCCGTACCTACGAACGTTTACTTCGAGATCAAACCATTTGTTGATATTGATGTAACCAATATGCTTTCAAAATGGTACAATTTCTTTATTTCCATAGCAAATTCTTGGTACTTATGGAGCTTCTCTCCCACGGTTGTCATCATCCGCTATGATGGTTGTCATCAGCTATCATTCGGAATCGCGATATCTATTAGCTTTGCCTTCTTTGTTCCTAAATCTATAATAAGGATATCGGGTCTGTTGTGATGCACTATATGATCCGTTATAATAGATTTGTCCCAATACATCTTGAGGGAGCCTTTCAGAAGTAGTCTAATCGGATTGCATATATAATATTGCACTTTTTCATCCAGAAAGTTAAGTTTCAATGGTAGAGCCTGGTGGAATATTTTCACCACATTATTGTGCCTCTGCAGATACTCCGTACCAGCGAGCACTCCACATTCAGCTGTGATATGCTGGATCGATTAGAGGGTCATTGAACAAAGTCGACATTTATCAGATGTTGTACTGCCTTTTAGAACACGCCTCCTATATGACCTGCTGGCAATGACCTGATCTTGAATGGTGACTACAAAGCCTTCTGTTTCAGAGAATAGCCTTCCTGCCATTAACCATTCCACTGATCTTTCTTGGTCTATGGAGGCTTCATTCAATTAGTTGTAGTATCCGTCATGTATTGCCTTGTTTTTCCATTCTGACAGCCTTTCTTTTTCTGACACAACTGTGAAATCTTCAACTCTGTTTAAATTGAGTGCCGTTAGACCTCAATCCATATTGGATATAGTGAGGTATATCCTAGTCGTTTCAGAAAGAAAACATTGTTGTAGTGCCAGCTCCTGCTTTCGACACGCTTCTTCTATATTTAAAAGTTCGTGAGTTCCTTCCTTTCTAGATAAATACAGGCGGGCCTTGGAGGATGTTGGATGGTGAGACAGTTCTTATGTGAGTGTCGTTCGTAATAGACGATCCATTTCCTGTAGACTGGTATTGAGTCACTGTAATATACCAAAATTATAGCTCAGAGCTGGTATGACCCAGGTGTTAATGGCTGTAATTTTTTGCTTCCCAGATAACTGTGTCATGAGTACTTGTCGCAATCTCTTTCTGAACACAGTTAGAAGCTGTTGTTGCACATTCCTTCGGGCAATTTTAAGGTTTTATTGCATGTCTAAATATTTATATAATTGATGTGCTTCTAGCTCTTCTTTTTTTATCAGAATGTTCTGGATATTAACCTTTCTTACCTTTTTTGTATGAAGCACCACGCATTTATCAAGTCTGAATGATATACCTCTATCACTGCTAAAGGATGATACAGTTTCAACCATGTTCTGTAGTTGCTGGAGAGATTATTATTATTTCTTTTTTTTCATCCTTGCTTTGTGGGGTGAGTTTCTGTGGTGGGAGACCAGAAGTCCAGCCACCTTCATATTAGTATTTATTATTTTTTTATATGTTTAAAAATTTTCTGGACAATGGGTCTAAGAGAACTGAGTGTTGAGCCTCTTTCAGCACATCAAGAGGTAATTTTAAATCAATTGTGCCTGCCACTGTTGACTTTGAGCCCATTGGAGGATATTATAATTGAAGTGATGGTGATGCTCCCAAAATGATATAATTCCTTCAATTATATTATTATTATTTAGGGAAATCTCTTATATCACAGCATTCCTGGCTACAGCACATTATCCGGAATTAAGTCAAGGGTAGGCTAGACAAATTAATCTGTTACATTCATAAATTTTCGAACAATACTCGCTGTTCTGAGTAACACCGCTTTCTGCATTAGCTCCAAAGAATTCATCAAAAGGCTCAATTCCTTCATGGAGTTTACTGTTATATCCAGAATCAACCCATTTGCAGAGATGACCAGCGGCAAAATCCTCACTTTATCAAGTTAATACAATTGTTTGAGCTTTATTATTATTATTATGATGATAGTGATAATTATATATATATATATATATATATATATATATATTACTGTTATATCCAGAATCAACCCATTTGCAGAGATGACCAGCGGCAAAATCCTCACTTTATCAAGTTAATACAATTGTTTGAGCTTTATTATTATTATTATGATGATAGTGATAATTATATATATATATATATATATATATATATATATATATATATATATATATATATATATATATATATATTATATATATATAATATATATATACATATACAACCCTATACATATAAAACCTACCATTACCACCCATGGAGGGTCTTGGGTTCAGTACTTTGTAAGGAAGTAATGTTTCAAGACCAAAGGATGTGCTAGGGAGAGGTGATGTGGGCCAGGATCATGCTCAACCACCAGGTTATCCCACTTAATTGAGCCCTTCAGTTGACAGAATGACTAACTCCCAATTTCA